CAGCACATCCATGGGATGTGATGTATGGCAGCACGACAGGTCCGGGATTTTTATTTTCTTTCTGTCTGACAGGAGTTTAAACTAAAGCCTGCACTGAGCAGTTTGTACAGTGTGAGGTAGAAATTGAGAAAGGACTCGGTGTAGGGATACTCCAGGTCTGAAGCTTCTCATTGTGAAGAATTGCTTCCCAAGGAAAAGGCTCTTTCCCTCTAAACATTCTGGATGATGGGGGGGTTGTGCTCTCAAATGTTTTCTCATTTAGATAACCAGCATTTAGGGGTTATAGACTAACTTAGAGAGAGAGAAAAACTGCAAAACAAAACCAATCAAAACAACCAGCAGCCGTTTCAGCAGGTTTCAGGTTTTTCTAACRCTGTGAAAACAGCAGAACTGTGTTTTAGAAGGAGGTACACACAGAAACYGGCTGACATAATTGCAGCACTGATAATTCACTTTCCTGAGAGCTTCAGCTGTTCAAAGATGCAGGGTAAGCAAAATCCCAAAGAACCAGCCTCTGTGATGCTTCCTCCAGTTGTTTATTATTATTCTCACTATCTAAACAGGACACTGAGGCACAGCAGGTAAATGCTGGTGGCAATGACATTCAGCTCGAGCCCCCAGGCTGTGCCTCTCACTGATGGCACAGCGCTGCATATAATGAGCACATTTAGGAAACAATTTAGCCTTTACCATTTCCTCCTGGTTGTTGCATTATGAAAAAGCATTTGAATTTTCGCTATAAAAAGGAGCTTCACTGAAAAAAAAAGTACTTTTGTAGTACTGAAGTGTCAGAGCCTTTACAGAAACTAATTCATTAAAATTAAAATTCATTAAAATTCACTCTGGGCTTTGGTCTGTGCTGCTCCCCTGCAGCTTTCCCTGGGTGGGACAGACTTTTTGGGGATGGGTTTGTGGGACAGTCCCAGAATTGAGRAAGTCAGGAATGCACATCCATCCATGTCCTGTGCCACCATTCTTGTTCTGCTGCTGGAACTGTCTCCCTCCCTCCTGAGCCAGCTCTGTGTTTGAATGCTGATGAAAATAGATTTAATTATTGTTATTGGTTGTGTGGAAGTGCTTCCTGCTGGGATACCTTATAGACACTCCCTCTGCTGTTATCCTGTGGAGGGGACAGACTGAGATTTTTGCCTCCTGTGCACTKTACTCATTGGATTAAGGATAAAATTGAAGCTTTCCTAAAAGACTGGGTTGCCTTAAAAATGAATGAATATTTGGGATTAAAGACCCATGAGATAATTTATTTTTTTTTAATCCTGTTTAGAAGTAACTATTGAAGTAAATGGATTTACTGGCAGAGTTAGGAGCAAGATCTGAATCTAGAAGGTCTCATTGTMCATTTACCTTTTGAATTGTTGAACTCTGAGGATCAGGTAATTAAATTCATGAGCCAGAGAAGAGATGAAAGTAGGTTGTATGAGTTAGCATCTTTKAAAAGCGTTAAAGTTCCAGAAGGAGTTGACATTTCTGTGTTCCCTGGATGAACTTGGCTGTGGCCTCGTGTCTCTGTTTCCTCATGTGCTGCTTCTGAGGTGGATGCACCGAGGAACAGTTGGGATTTTGTGTCAGGAAATGGTGCTCCATCACTGTGCTTTTGTTGTGGGTTGATTTGGGTTTGTTTGGGGTTTTTTTTAATGTATTAGTAAAATAATAAAGCCATACAGTGCTTACTTGGGAAAAGAGAGGTTCTCTGCTGATCCCCTGCTGAAGGTGCAGCTCTGTGCTGTTCAAAGCAGATGGATTTGTGTGTCCTGTCTGGGGGCTCTCCTGTAAAAGGAGGATGAGCCTTGTTGGGAAGAGCTCAATTCCCTCTCCCCCTGGCATTATGTCAAGTCCTGTCTGCATCCCTTGCAGCATGAGGTGTGAAGATAATTTGCAGCCTCCTGCACGAGCATTCATTTAATTGCAGAAAATCAAAATGCCAGGTGGAGGGGGATCTGTGGGGATTCCAGTGCGGGATTGAAGAATTGAGGAGAGGAAGGATGGGCCAGGTGTCTGCCTTCTGTAAGAATATTCCCTGTGTCACATCTGTGCCAGCACAGTGTTGAGTCAGGCTTTGCAGTCAGGCTTTGCAGTCAGGCTTTGCAGGGCCGAGCTGTCAGCTAAGCCAGGCTCAGGGATCACAGTTCTGCCTCTCTGGTGGCACTCAGGGATGCTGTGAAGCCAGGCATGGCTCTGGGGCTCAATTAGGCTCTCCTGACACGCTGGGTATCAGGTACGAGGACGTGTTCTGGTCCATCAAACACAAAATGACAAAATCATTTGGAATCTCCTGTTGCTGATCCCTGTGGGTTTTCCATCCTGGCCGTGTTACTCAACAGCCAGCAAGCTAGACTTGAAAATGAAGCTTCAGGAATTAACTGATATCTTTTACTTCGAAATCCATAGGAAAAAGAATTAGGTCAGACTGAAATATTGCTACTAATGACTAAGTAGCCTTTATTAATTATTTGCAATTGATTGCAACTTGCCACAAGTGGGCACATGTGCTTTTACCCTTCTGATTCTCTCTTTCACTTTTAGAGTTAGACCAGTGCAACCAAAGTTCATTATAGATGAATATATATTTTTTTCTTAGATAGGAAGTGGTTTCTCACGGTAAATGATCGGCGTGAAAATACATTGCAGAAGGCACCTAACTCCGTGCACARTTTTTTTCTTGTAAATGATTTAGAAGTTGAGAGTGGCTCTATTTAGCTCTTATTTGTGCAAAAGTGAGCTAACTAACATGAGTAAAATATCCCTGTCTGATCTCCCTTGCTAAGACTTTACCTGCCTGCAGCCTAAATCTGTAATCCAGGTGTTCTTCCAGCTAAACCTGCTCTTCTCTTTGATTTATCCATTTTATATGAAAATCTTTAGTATATTAAATAAGTACTTGACCATCTCATTTTTTAATTTTTTTTTTGTGCACATGCTGCATAATGAGGAAGGTTTCTCAAAAGTTTTCTTGCAAGTGGATTCCCGTGTGGCTCCTGTTAGTCACAGCTAATTAAAGGGGTTGGTGAATAAAGAATATATCTGARCTCAGGTTCCCCTCCTCCTCCTCTTTCCACAGTGCTTCAGAAGAAAATAGAATAAAAAATCCTGCAGACAAATCCAGGTTTTTTCTGTGGTGGCAGTCTCCAAAGAGCTCCAGAGAAATCGCAGATGTGGTTTCATGTTTCAGGTTTAACTATGTTGTAATAACTACAGTCTTATCTGCAGGAGAAATGCAAGTGGGGAAAGAATCATTAATTGACAGTGAAAAGTTTGACCCGAGCTCTGTGTGTTTATTTGTTTTAAGCAGCTGAATGTTTAGCCGAGAGATATTTTAACTTCTGACTGCAGCCTGGAAGGTTACAATAATCTCTATAGGTCAAAACCTAGGAATGTTACAGGAAAGGAAATTTAGATACAYGTCTCAGGAAGGCCAATCCTAGAAAAGCAGAAATTCTTGTGGTTTAGTGAAAGCCAAGACACAACCCTCAGTTTCATTTCAGCTGCACTGACCTAACTTTAGGAAAGGATTTTTGGTGTTTGGGTGGGTGCAGAGCTTTGGGAGCTGTGATGAGGAGCCCACAGCTCACATCAAATGTTTGACTAACTCTAATTTTCCTATCTTTTGTTGCTGTTCATTCAGGAAGTCTGCTGCCTTGAATGAGTTCCTGTGTGTGTGTAGTTGAGGTATTATTCAGCAGGACTACATGGGATATGTCTATTATTTGTCACAAAGGCACCGGTGACCTTCCTGCCCCTATATTAGCAGCGCCTGCTGTTTTTCCATACTGCCGATTGGCAGGAATGCACACCATCCATAAAAATGGCTGGAATCCTCATTGGTCAAATTACTGTCTCAGGAAAACAAAATGCTTTCATTATTACAAAAAAAAAAAATTAAAAAAAATTAGGAGGTAATCTCAGCAGGACGTTCGCACTTTAATGCATGTTTGAGGCTGGAAAAATGAATAATTTAGCAGGAAGAGGAGGCAGATTACATAATGATATTACATAGGACTAATGATCTCTGGTTTTAACAGGTTATGGGTGTTTTTAAGGTTGGTTTGTGGTTGTCCCCCTCCCCCCCTCCCTTCCGATTTTTGTTTTCTGTTTTCAAAACTGCAGTACACAGAAGACTTCAGGAGTAGCTTGAACTTTCAGAAATACAGCTAGGGCTAGGACAGGAATATGCTACCTAGAAAACAAAGTGTAAAATTGTTGCCTAAGYTCTAGGAAGCACACCCATGGATGAAAGTTCTTTAAATCAGTGCAATACTAAGAGCTGTATAAAAGGTTGTAAATAACAAGTGTAAATATTCCAGTATCTCTCCAGAACAATTGTTTTTGGGTACCTATCTGATCAGGAAAGTTTATTGTCATATACCTGTGTCAGAATTATTAATTTTGGCTGTTATACATTGAAAAAGTACTCCAAGAAAGTGTCCTTGTCATGGCTACACACTTGGGTTGGTGGATAAAGCAAAACAAGGCTGTGGCATGGTGGAGAACACTGAGGGTATTGGTTTTCCTTAAGAAATACTGATTGTTACTTATTACTAATAATTTCCTTAAGAAATACTGACAAATACTAATACTGAATTTTGAATAATAAAATCTCTTTGAAAAGCCACTGTGAGGCTGAACATTGTGTGATGGAGATCTCTAGGAAACTCAGGAGCTCCAAACCAAGTTTATGTGACTGTTCTGGTGTTAAAAATGCTGAAAGGAGCAAGTTGGAGTTTAGTAAAATTCTAGTGAGTAAATGCCCCCAGGGCTGAATGCTCTTGAAGTACAAAAATAACATCAGACATCAATCTAAATTCAAATGTATACTTTAACATATGCATGTATTTGAATCAGTGTGTTTTAGAGGCATTCCCTTCAAAAAATGCCGTCTGCAAGGCATCTCTGAAGCACAGAAATTGTTTTAATTCAGAAAAAAAWTAGAGAATGGAAGAGATTTTTGTTTTACACTGATGTGGTTTGTCTTATTTTCCCCAAAGGACACCATGGTTTAATGGATGGGGCTTTAATCTACCCAGAGGTCAGTCTTTGCTAGACAAGTGGAACCTTATTCCTGAGGGAATTGATATTCTAATGACACATGGACCTCCCCTTGGTAAGTGAAACAAAAGTTCTGTGTGATTTTTTTGCATGAGAATTTTACTTTCAAAATAAGSAAAATCAATAATGCTATAAACTATRCTGTAATTGCACCCAWACTCAAAACTATGGATTCRAAAACTTTTTTGAAAGAAATGAAAATGATGATTAGCCTTAGCTGATCTGTTGAGYTTCCTTAAAAAACTTGAATTTTTTATTAAGTTCAAGCTAGGGAAGATCAAATATCTGACTCCATAACCATTATAGTTTGACATTTTRTTTAAGAATAGTATTCCTCTGACAAAGTTTCCAATCCCATATGATTTTTTAGAGAATGACTAAAACTTCTGAAACCTTTTCTCACTACAATGTCACGTTATTTGAAAGTTTGAGAGCAGCAGTCAGGAGTTTGGAACTGTGTAGTCACATATTCTCCTTGATAATGTCCTTGTAAACTCAGAATATGTAAGAATAGTTTTAAAGGTATTAATTGGCGTGTGAAAAACTCATGAAGGAATAAAATCATGTTCTTAGATAATTGTTCCTTACTTGATCTAATGACAGGTGAGCACCAGCCTATGAATGCATAATCTGTTTCTTCATTAGGCAGCTGAARTTTCTCATTTAGTTGAATTTTGCTTGTCTTGTCAATATGAGTCACTCACCAATCCCCATTTTAACTCTTAAGATCTAAACTAAGTTTTGACAGTCTCAAAAAGAGGCAGGAACACTTAATTTTGGCATTTCTGAGGTCATTAAGGCCTACCCTAAAACCATTTGGAAAACCCCACCATCCTTTCTCCACCCTCCAGTAGCATCACAAATAATTTACTGCTTTTCTTTAAGACACAYGTGGCAAACAGCTTGGGACTGTATTTTATAAAATATTTCAGTTGGGTTTACAACAGCTGAGTATATTTTATAAATATGGGTTTACAGCAGCTGGGTTTACAATGAGTGAGCCTTTTCTAAATAGGAATTAGCAGGATGAGGAAGTGTGGCAGTCTCTTCATTACCCTTACTGTGAGTAGACTGATTTTGTCAGGGTTTTAGGGAGCTCTTGCAATCTGAGAGGTCAGATCACACTGTCACAGGCAGTCACTGAGTCACAGTCACTTGCTCCATTCATGACAGTGAATATAGTAAAATCTTTAAAATCTTCTCAGAATTGCTTTGTGCCATTATAAACCAGCATTTTSAGTGCTCCCAGGCTGGCTCAGTGCTCTCATGGAGCTTTCTGATGATTGTGGAGTCAGGGATTAATGCATGCTTATGTTTTGTACCACAATTAAGTTCAGAGTCAGCAATCTAAGCAAAGCTAGGGAAAAAAAAAAACAAGTCCAGAAAGTTTTTGACCAATGCACTTCCTGCTCTTTTTATATCCTGGTTAGTTTTTTAATACTATTGGAGAATGCTGTAAAATGATCAGCAAATTTCCTTTAACTTTTCTGGTGCTGCTGTGCTAAAGCAGTGACACAGCATCCCCTGACAGCAGAGCCACCAGATATTTCAAACCTTGAATATCCCTGAATCGCTTCATTTTCCCCAAGAAGCAAAAAAAAACCCACAAGTGTGTTTGTAATGTTTCATGGGTGCTGTTTGAAATGGGCTGCTCGTCCATGTGCTTTGAATGGGGTTCATGCAGAAATACTGTGAGGCTGCAGACACTAATGAGTGCTTTAATTGAATAAGCGTGCTTAAATTCTGTGTTTGATGGAGATAATGAAGTTCAATTTCCAAAGGTTGGCACTGTATCTTAACTACATTAGGTGTTAATACTGTTAACACACATTAGGTGTTAATACTGTGCCTAAAACGAGGGGCCCTAGGGCTCAGCTTGCATGGTAATATTGACAAAATACTGCTTTTTAAATAAATCTTAACTTGTTTGCTTATTAATATTAAGGGAGGTAGAGCTGTGACTGGACTCTTTGTTCATTCTAAAATGTAGCCAAGTTCATGTCACAGAATGTTTTTGCTACCTGGGATTAACTTGGCACAGGCTGTAATTTTGCTAAAGTCAGGAGAACGGTGCTGCAGTTGGATGTGGCTCCCAATTTCCCTTTCCCTGCCTCTTGTTCACCTTGCCCTGCTGATCCTTTTCCCTGCCAGGCAGCAGAGTCCTTAAGGTGTCAGGTTTTGTACATTTTTCCCTATTATCCCTAGGACCAAGTGTCATTGGTTTGTTGGGAGCTGCTCTGTTTGAGGTTGGTGATGTTGGCTCAGAAATAACCTGATGCTTGCAGACCACAGTCCTCTGGAACTTATAGGAGTTTGTATTTTAAATCTTTGGGGTGGCAGCAGCAGCACCAAGTCGCAGCTCAGCTCATCTTCTTGAGCTGTTTTCATTTCTTGGGAAGCTGGCTGCTCTGAGAGCCAGGGGAAAGGGAAGAAAAATCTGCTGCAGTGCCAGGAATAAATGTCCTGGGGTTTCAAGGTGGAAGATGAGTTTAAACCTGTAGCTTAAAAAAAAAAAAAAACAAATCTAAGAAAACATTAATGCAGATGGAGGGAGGAAATCTTAAGGAAGACAAAGTGACAGTGAAACATTTCTTAAAAGCCATTKTGTGCTTTAATGGAGAGGTTATGACTAGGGATAATGTAATAAACCCTCTGTGAATGATGACTTCCTGAAAGGCTACGTGAAACCTCACCTGAATAGGGAAAATTAACAGTATTGATTGCATTTTTGCCTTCAGGTTTTCGAGACTGGGTTCCAAAGGAGCTGCAGAGAGTGGGCTGTGTGGAGCTGTTGAACACAGTGCAGAGGCGAGTAAGACCCAAACTCCATGTCTTTGGTGGSATCCATGAAGGTAAGGAGCAGTAATACTCCCTGCTTCATCTCACATTTCAAAAAACACATTTTGGTGGTGTATTGCAATGGATAATGGCATATTGGATTAATATGGGAGTTCAGGGAAGTGGTTGCATGCGCAGCACTTTGTAAATTTATTCCGGAATTAAAACAGACTGTTTCAGGAATGTGTGCTACATTTAGCCACCTACATCTTTCACTGTGCAAAGGTTGTTCTACACAGGTTATTTGAAAGCAATTCAAATTTTGACAAACTTGGTTAGAGAAACAGATGAGATTCCCMACACTTGCAAGCCAAAATGAAAATTATCCCCATTACTCTGAGCGCAGAAGCTAAGAAAGGTGCTAGAGAAAAAAAAAAAAAAGAAAATGCAAAGACAACTTGCTGTCTCTGCTCACCTCCCTCAGGGTATGAGGAGCAGCAAAAAGGAGGGCATCTTGAGTCAGGCATCAGGGGGAGATGCTGCCAAAACTCCCTGTGCATGCTTGTCTAAAAGCACCCTGTAATGCAAACTCTGTGTGTTCCCCTCCAGGAATCTCGTTTTTTAGAGGAGATATTCCCCCTCTGTCTGTGTCAGGACAGGCAGAATGTGAGGCTTCAGAAACAGTGAGCTCTGTGGCAGTGGAAGAGACTGAGAGGTTAAATACATTCTGGAGATACTTAAATATTTAATACTATTTTSTAGCTTTCATGTGGCTGAGAGACAAACACTAGGAGTTCTGCCTGAGAGAGAGTGTAAGACTCGGTGACCCTGGAAATCAAAATTACACATTAAATGTTTTATGTTCTCCCCCCCTGGAGATTTCTCCATTGTCTCTAGCTAGGTTCTCCATAGGCCCAAAGATTTCGAGGATTTTATAAAAGAAAAATAAAAAAAGGACAGCTTTCTCTGCTAGTGGTGTTGGTTTTTCTGAAGCCCTTGTGACTCGGTGTGATGTTTTTCATGCCTGGCATCTGTAAATAAAGGGTTTATACTGGGAATGCTGACACGACCTTATGTACAGAGGCATAAATAACTGTTCTTTCATGCACCCAGGAAGGGATTGGGTATTTTGTACAAATATTAGCTCTTGCATATTAAAAATAAATGAGTATAGCAAGACTTCCAGCCAAAATGTGTAAATGGTGTTCAGCCTTTGTAGGCACGTTAGGTGGTGAAACTTGTGGTTGTAACAACATTAAGTAGTGGGAAGGAGGGTGTCTGGATGTACAAGGCCATTATATGAGAAAGCACCAAGGAGCCATGTGCTGCCTTTAAATCTCCTAGAAAAGGTGGCAGCACATTTTAAAAGCAACCATCCAAATAAATTCTCACAAGAATACCAACAAAAAGTTAAAATCCTTTGTAATACTTACTCAAAGGACATAGGAATGGCTTGTTTCAGTGCAGGAAGAAATAATATAATGTTAAGAGCATTATCTTACGTGCAATTAATTGTTATCCAACTCCAGCTGAGATGAATGTGCACCATATTCCCTTGAACAACAGAGGCTGTACACACATGTTGGTGATGCAGGTTTTTTCCCCTGGCTGATAAGCAAAACAGCCACAAACAACTTTTTTTTCCCACCATGAGATGATCTAAATCCAAATTGCCAGCCTAAATAAACAAAGTAATGCAGGTGGACAGTGCAGCAATTCTGAAGTGATTATTCTTTCTGATAGGCRCTGTGGGTAGCTGTATTTATCTCAGCTTTCAGACAGCAGTGATCTGCACTGTTTCATAATGGTTTAAAAGAAAAACATCTTTCCTCTGTGGGTTTGCAATGGGAATCTCTCTTCTGTATGAAACTCTGGGAGTTTTTTTCTTCAATTATGTTTTTTTTAGTACATTTGGGGCCGGATACTTCCTAGATGTTTTCAAGCTTCTTTATTAGCTTTTTGTGGATGTGAACTAAAAACACGTGCACTTTTATAATTTTTTTTTAAGTGTATATATAAATTAAGTAATGGAGTCATGAATGGTTTGGATTGGAACGGACTTTAAGGATCATCTCATTCCAAACCCTCTGCCATGGCCAGGGACACCTCCCACTAGACCAGGGTGCTCCAAAGCCTGGGTTTAAACACCTCAGGGTTGGTTGGGGCAGACACAGCTTCCCTGGGCAGCCTCAACACGTGCCTGTGTGTGTTTTTAATCTGCTGATGAGTTCCTGAGGTTTCAGAAGCCAGGGTGAACCCCAGCCTGTGTGTATTTTTAACCTGCTGATGAGTTCCTGAGGTTTCAGAGGCCAGGGTGAACCCCAGTTTGGCAGTGCTGGGATGAGGAACTGAGTGATAAGGGCTAGCACAGGTCATTGCTCAGAGAGGGGGTGTTTAGGCTAAACCAAAGTTACTTCTAAATCTTTTGCTTGTGAATGGTCTTTATCTCCTGACAGACATGACAGGCGTGCAAACTATAGCTCACTAATTAATTAATTAGAAAAAGAACACGTGTGGTTTGTGTTTCTGCCACACCCATTTGCGACAGAGGATTTTCCGGCGGTAAAAAGAGTTTGTACTAATTTTTGTTAACCCAAAAGCACCCGCTCYTCAAACAGAGCATCTTTTCCACTCCAGCCTTTGTTGCAGCTCTCAAGAGCTGGTACCCATTCTGCCATTTTTTATTTGGTTTTGTTGCCAAGCTTTGCTCCCCCAGCAGCTTTTTTTGGTTATCCCTGCAGGTTATGGAATCATGACGGACGGTTACACCACCTACATCAACGCCTCCACGTGCACCGTCAGCTTCCAACCCACCAACCCACCCATCATCTTCGACCTCCCCACCCCTCAAGGATCCTGAAGCACTACTGCACCTTGGGAACTGGGCAAGGTCTAGAAACTGCCGTTTTCTAATGACAAAACCCACATTCATTTATGTGTTTATTTCAAAATAGGGGCTAGGGTGGGGATTCTGGGGACAACCGTGGGGGTTTTTGTTCCTGGGTGGGGTTTGGGGCTTTTTTTTTATTATTATTTGTAAATTGCTGGTGCAAAAGAAACGAGAAGAAAAGTTAGAGGTTGTGCTTTTTGGAAATGCAGCATTCATTTTGAATTGATAAAGCATTGTGAATTTGTAAAATGAATTTTGTTTTTCAATAAATTTGCCATTGTAAATTGTTATAGTGTTCTCAAAAGGACAGCCAAGCTTTCTTTTAATAAGTGAGAGACCTTATTTTAATATTATATTATAAGCTAAAAAATAGGCAGCATTTAAAAACACCCAAATTTGCACAACTTATGTTATTGTCGGGGTTTTTTTAAGTGTCTTCTTTTCCCCTAGGTTTAAATGTTAGCTTTTTATCTCCATTTATATCAACTTTTTTAGTAGCACAAACAATGTTTTGGGGTCCATTTACCTCTTGATATGTGTGCATATACTTAAACTTGTTTCTATTCATGGTAGAATGCAGCAAGGGGAGAATAGACTTCTCAGTTGTTTGTCTCTACCTGCTTTATAAAGACTGATCTAGATAGCCACAGCCTGTATGTGATGTCTACCTTCTGTTGTTTCTTTTTTAAATTATTTTAGCTTTAAAGGACTGGGGGTGAAAGCTGCAAAAAGCAGGTATTTCATGCAGTAAAAAAAAAAAAAAATGTAAATGCGGACTCCTTTTAAATATGAATTTATATATATATGTATTTTTTGTGCATTATAACTAAGCTAGGATTTAATATTGCCAGTATAGCATCTGCAAAATTATGCTGTACAGCACATCTAAATTATGAAGGATGTGACACATTTTTCCAAGTGCTCAAGGCCTTCAAGAGCCCGAGTTAAATCTTTGTTGTAGTTCAGGCATGTATAGAGTCAAATGGATACAATCAAGCCTAAATAAAATAAGGCTTAGTTGTCCTTTATATTTAAATATTCTTCTTGTCTTTTTTATTTCCTTTTTCTTATTTTGCACTGTGTGTAAATGCAATCTCACTAGCACAAAATATTGTTGCAGATAGTTATTTCTGTTCCACCACTGTAAATGCTATTGAGCTTTGTTCTGTTTTATGTTACCTTGTTCATGGAATTTAGAAAAGCAGCTGTTTCTTTAAATTTATTGTGATATTATATCTAGCGGCCTTTATATGCAAATAAAATTGCAAGATTTTTAAATGTGTGGTTGAAGGGATTTTTTTTTGGTGGGTGTTTAATGGTTTGAACAATTTTGAGGAGCCATGATAAAGGTAAGCAAGAAGTTTTCTATTTCCCAATAAATTTCTATTGCAGACCATTCATCAGATGTCAGCTGGGTCGATAAAACRCTCACTTTCCCTTCCCTTCCTCTGCCATCCATCCTTTCAGACAGAAGGGATTTTGTTTTTAGGTGCTGAGGTTCAGAGTGACCAAGTTAGTGGCGTTCAGCCTTGCAGGACACTATTCCAAGTGACAGGAGGCAGAATTGATCAGGCAGTCACCTTTGCACTTCCTCTCTTGGTCATTAGCACTAAGCTGCAGGTGTCTTATGCTCATCCACTCTGGGTTAAGAAATGCATAGTCAATAAGTGAAATACATCACTTTTTATGTGGCTCTGTGTCAGTTTTGTGGCTACAGCAAAGTCACAGGGGAGCGTGGTTCCGTGTGTGCCAGTGGAATGACAAACCTGCTGGGATTGCTGCATACACTTGTATAGATAATAACAGACTTGTGCCAAAATTGGAGTTGTGGCTGCAAAAATCTAGCTTCAAACAGGAGGAAATAAGGCAGAGTTTTCATTAACCTGCATCTTTCATTACTGCATCTGCAGTCAYGTTCACAAGACGTGGAGAGGGACAGAAAATCCCCATTTGCCTTGGCAGGTTGGGAACTTTTGACATTATTTTRATAACAAAGGTTATGGACAAACAAATTCAAGGCTCTTAGAGCAGAGTACAACTTGGAGGGCAACTGTGTGCATTTTGGTGCAACGTGCATGACACACCTCTGTGGAGCTGGCTGAAATCTTCACATTTATAAGGCTGCTATACCAAAGTCTTTTTGGGGGAAGAAGCTGCTGCTCTYCTCAAATCTAGTTCTTCTGCATGTGGAATTTCTTGTCAGGTTTCCACTCTTTAATGACACCTGCCTTGCTTTCCTTGCAGTGCTGCTTATTTTGAACCAAAGGCAGAAAGGTCACCAAATATCAGCTCTGACTTTTGGAGCCTGCCTTGGGTAAGACTGGTCTGGAGAAGAAAGTTTGGAGCAGGCTCTGCAATGAATTATAAACTGGTGCCTGTAGCCATARATGTCCTAAAGGTGTGAAACTTTTGGGTTCAGCTCTTTGCCACGTGGGTTTTTGGCTGTGAAGTGCACCAAGTGTGTTACTGAGTGGTTCTGCAGTGGGATACCAGGCCTGGATTTGTAACAACAGGCTAAAGTTTTCTCCTTCCTTCAGACACACATCAAGGATTGTCACTGCTTTGGCATCAGTTGGTGCTGAGTGCAGCTGTTAATKTGCACGAGTAAATCTTCTGTGCTTTCTAACCTTTATTGGCATTTTTTTCTTCTCAGGTTCTTCACCTAGCTGGTGGTTTAGCACTGAGCTTGTTCTCCTCCATGCCAGGATATTTTAAAGTTTTATTCCCCCAGTTTTTTTTTTGTCATTTCAGAAATTATCTATTTTCCTCTTCTGAGGAGGCTGTCATTTCATCTAGCAGCAATTACAAAAAAAAAAGCCAGGAAAATATTAGTAGTTTGGCATTTTTCCTTTTTGTATTCCTCAGAGATTTTCAAATGTATAGGTGTGTGTGCTGTCACAGGGAGGTGATTTTCCTGTKCTGGATGTTAGCCATATCTGACAATCAGGGTAACTGGGACACGGTGTGGTTTGAGGAAATTTGATTTCACAGGGAGRCAAAAGTGTCTGATTAATCTGCTTCTGTTCAAGGATCTTTCAGCACTAAAAGTGGCTCAGTAGATGTATGCAGAACAAACCTTGGGTAATAAGTCTTTCTTTGGGGTCTGCTCCAAGCCCATTGAACTCACCAGTTTTTCCATTGACTTCAGCTGGCTCTGGATCAGCCACCTGATATCCCTCTGGATTTTCTGTTGCTGATCCTTCAAGCTGGAGGAGATGGTCCTTGGTTAACATGCCAAAAACTCGTGGCAGGAAGAGGAACCCACCCCTTGCAAGTGCAGAATCTCCCYGAGTGATTGATTAAGAGCAGCTCAGTCCATTAACCTTTCCTCCTTTGGGATCAGTCCTTGATAAGGCTGGGARCAGTCAAGGCCTCCAGCAGGGGAGGGCTGTGCATCAGGATGCTCCCCAGAGGTGATTGCTTCCCAATTCTCCCTGMATAGTGAATTTAGTGAATTCAGCAGACCTCGGGGTCAAGCATTTATTAGGCTAAGAGACTGTCAAATCAATCCAGTCTACTCCAGGYGAGTTCTACCAGGAGAATGGGTTTTGCCAAGACTCTGTCTAAGGAATAGATTGATGGCTGACTCCTGGTTGAAKCTGCTCTTCTCTTTTCCATTTTCCRTGAATCAGAGTTTTTCCCCTCACTGACACCAATATTTTCTCCTTAGACAAAGTTTATTAAGGAAACTCATGGAAACTACCTGTAATTTAARTCACAGGGAGAGTTCCAAACTCTGTAGTCCTTCCATTCTGTGTTACATTGACCTTAGGGCTTTCTCTGAGACCTTGCTTTTTTACCACGTGTGTTTGAATTATGTTTCTGGTATTTTCTCTCCCTCATCCCCCTTCTTTTTGGCTTGATATTCTCCAGCAGTTATAGGCAGGCAGGGATGCTAATTTTCTCTGCCTGACATCMTAGCTGTAAAGAGAAATGCATTGTAAAAGCAGTGTATTTTCTTCCCTTTATTCTAATCCCAACTTCCTTGCAGATTCCTCCTTTGCAGTAACCAGGCTGTTGTGCACTGTCATCAGCTAATTTCCTATAAATACTCAGATAAAATCATGTTATGATCAGGATACATCTCATTTTGTTTCACCTCTTGTTTTCCTCAGGTTCTGTACTTGTTGATGATACAATAGAATCAGAGTAGTGCTTTTTTTCTCCTGGGCAGCATTTCTCTGCAATCCTTACAAAACAGTTCAGGTTTTATTTTGTAACTAAGGTTTGCATTTGTGAAAGGAGGTGTGATGAAGATCTGGACCTGAGTTTAGGATAACTGAATGAACATTCATTCCTTCCTCAAACAGTGGGCAGCACTCTCCAGGTAGATGTCAGTGGTGCTTTGGATTTGTCAGCTTTAAGAACTGAGCAGCTGGRACTGCAAAACCCTAAGGAGTTTAGATAAACAGCAACATATTCAAAAAAGTATGCTAGAAAGCACAAATTGAAAGCACAAAATAAAAAGATTTAGTCTTCCTCAACTGGCATTAAGCTGTGTTTTTGTATTACCACTACTGTTGGAAGTGTCTCAGAAGTGCCAGTCTGTTGCCAAGGGCCCTCAGTTACTAAAGGAGCAGCACCACAAATGTGAGGTTCCTGTGTGCTCTGCTCAAGCATTTTCAACATTCATTGTCATGTGAGGACTTCAGCAAAATATTTTCTCTTTTCTGGTGAGTTACTGCAACTGGAGGAAGAATGTAAATTTTCTTTTTTATGAGCACTATCAGATTCTTTAAGAGGCCTGAAGCAGGTACAAAAACTGCWTTATTGTGAGATACAAACTGCAGCTCTGTCAGTAACCCTCCAGTGTTATTGGATTTGTGTTAGGAGGTRTCTGGAGAATTTTGGAGAGGGCATGTTTGAGCATCATATTGACACCACAAGGCTTGAGCCCAGCCCTGGTTGGGAGAGGGGCAGTTCCTAAGAGGAGCTAAATTGCATTGATTAAGGTCTCCTAATCAACAGAATGACTTCTTGTGCAGAGTGCTATTGAATTTTCTGTAGACTTGAARCTACAGAATGCATAGGCTTATTCATAATCAATTGTACTCAGYATAAAACTTTGAAATCCAAGAGCTGGATCAGCTTATAATGGAATTCAGGTRGTTTATTTTTATTTGTGATTTGTGTTTCTGTTACCAAATTGAGGCCAGATTTGCAGATGTGTTTGGGTTACCAGTAACATGCTAGGCTTGAATACTTACTGAATGCAGAAGCATGTTAAAAAACATTATTTTTGTAGTTTTGTAGTGTGTCTCATGTGAAATATCTTACCTGTTCTAAGATTTCTCTGGAGCTACTGTAATTATCAATTAGATTTGAGCACAGTGGACAGTCACAGATAAAATTTACAGTTAGTGTAATGCCCTACAGCAAACTAAAAGCTGGAGCTCTCAGTTACACTCCAGGAACACAAAAACTTTCTTGACTTTGTCGGTCAGAGAGTCCCTTTGCTGTGCAGCCTGAGTCAAACAAGAACCAGGAAAGCAAAAAGCCAATATCTATGCTGTTTTTACTGTTAGAGCTGCTGCAGGACAAAGATCAAGCTGAGCAGCCACAGCTCCACCAGTGGCCTGTAGCCAAACTAGGGATGGAATCCTTATTTTGTGATCCCCTTTTTTGCTGCTGTTCAGTTCCTCACAGCTTTTTATTTAGGAAGAACATACAGTGAGAATGAACAGCTTCCTAATCTTGGCTTGGAGAAACAAAAGAACTTGAAAAGCTCAACAAAAGATTTCATATTAAAATACACATTTGAACCAATGATAACCAATGAATACCARAAAGGGCATTTGAGAGGCAAACTGGATTTCCAGGCTAAAGAACACAGGCCAGACTTATGGCAAATGTTAGACAAACAGCATTTTATGACTTGTTTACTGTAATCTTCCTTCTTAAGGGTGTGCCAAAATGCCAGGATAGGAGCAGTTCCAAGACCATCCCACCCCAGATTTATTTTCATTTGGAGGGGGGAGGTGGAGTGCTTGAAGGTTTTTTTCTTTGTGTGTGTGGAGTWGTTCCCAAGGCACTATTCCTCAATAGGAAGTCAAGCTCTTTGTTAAAATCCTAATCCCAATTTACTGGGATTTTTGTTCAGACCAGCCATTTGTACATATTGTACAGTATTTTTTTTTTCCTGAAACTGCATTTTGATATATTTTGTCCGCAGCTTAAAGCCAAGCTCCAACAATGGGGGCAGGCACACGGTGTGGTTGCTCTGATGATTTAGAGTTTGCTGGCTTTTATATGGAACAAGAGGAAAGCTGGG